TACTCAGACGTTAACGCAAATGTTGTAACCGTTTGAAAATTGCTAAACTCTCTCAAGGAATTCCTCATAGACAGGAGGCACTCTCTTAGCGTCAACTGGCAACTCCCCTCTTGGATATCAGTGCGTAGTGCAGTTCCACAGGGCACGGTACTCGGACCTCTCCTATTTATTTTGTGTATCAATGAATTATCTCTGCTCACCGACTCCCCAGTGGTCCTATACGCAGACGACTCAAAAATTTGGAGTGAGCTGAAGGGCAACAGTGATACGTCCACGTTGAAAGAAGACCTCAACAAATTGTCTGAGTGGTCCATAGAATTGATGCTCCCAATCAATGTGGCAGAATGTGCAACAATGCGCATTGGACAAGCAAGAGCCTGCAAACTAAAGGGAATAACACTTCCATCGGTTCAAAATCACTTGGACTTAGGTGTCTTGGTTAGCCACGACTTTAAAAGTACAGCACACTGTCGCGCGGTGGCTGCAAAGTGGTTTTAGGTCCTTATGGGCAATTCGCAGAACCCTTACTAGAATCATCGGAGATATGTTCACCTCCTTATATACTTCTCTGGCGAGGTCAAGATTGGAAAACTGAATCCAGGCCGCCAGTCCTAGTCTAAAAGTGACTCACACCGAAGAGTTATCCGTGGTTTTCGATTCCCCTATGGTCACATATGCAGATGATTTGAAATTTCGGAAGCAGCACGGCGTAATGAAGATGATTCTGATTACTGTCCTACAGTATATCTGTGGTCAGAGCAGCTTGCTGGCCAATTGGTCGGCATTAATGTACGTCAATGTCTAGGTCACTAACATGGGCCGTGAGAAAATATGAACAAGACTGTTTCAACAACCAATCACAGCAAACTTAAACGTGGGCCAATATGATTCGCAGATAGATGGCTCCACTTTCCGAGGAACCCGAAAACAACCAACCAGAGGACTTCGTTTCTCTACTTGACCAGGCTATAATAATGAATGTGAAATTTATATAAATACGTGTTGATTTCCGCAATAAAAGATCTGTTGTCTCGCCCTTGACTTCTGTTGTTACATATCCACGTTTACATGCTCTAATGTATGTTAATGCTGCTCACGCTTATGGCGAACAACGTTGTATTAAGAAGCACGACTGAAAACTTGAAAAGATGTGAAGTCAACGAGGTACTTAATCGCGTGAATTATACATAAATCAAGCGAAAAGCAATATTAAATAATACAATGGCGAGTATTCCACAAGCATAAGTAAGACTTGTTTCTGTCAGCGTATAACACTCGTACACGAATTAGTTTTTATAAGTGTGCAGTTAGGCTTAATATAGGGGTGCTACAGGAGCTGAACAGAGACAACGGCACGCTATCATTTGAAAGCAGACCTCAACAAGTTGTTGGAGTGGTCCAAACAATGGATGCTATCGATCAACGTAGCGAAATGTGCAACCATGCTCACTAGACAAGCAAGCTTCAGCTCCTAAGAAGCAGAGAGAAACGTACTCCTACCAGTTCAGGCCCACTTAGATTTGGCTGCCATGATTTAAAAAACTTCAGCACATTGTCCTGCTGTGGCAGCACGCAGTTTTAGATTTTCGTAGGCGATTCATGGGATCTTCACTGGAACCACCAGAGCTGTGTTCACTTGTATACATTTCTGGTGAGGTCAAGACTGGAAAACTTTATCCAGACAGCCAACCCGTCCTTGTCCTAGAGGGGAATCTTATATTATAGAAGGGGTTTAAAGAATGTCAACGCCTATGATCATTGGTATGACTAGTTTACTACACGAGGAGTGACCAAACAGTTTAAATCTCTTTTCTCTTTCTTACCGTAATCAGTGGGGAGGTCTCATTACAGTGATAAAATATTTTAAATAATCACTACGGAGCCGGTCTATGCTCTCTTTTCCCTGTTTTCACCAAGGACATAGAGGACACGGCAGGAATGTTCAAAAGCCAATGAAAAAATACATTGGTGTGGAGTATCGGTTCTCACACCACGTCAAAAATTCCTGAAATCGACTCCCGGAAGAAGGGGTATCAGCGACATCAATGGAGTCATTAAAGAAAGTTTTGGACAAGCACGGACATTTACTAGAAAAGGATTAACATAGGTTCCAAGGCTTCTGTCCTCAATCAGTAAATCTGAAAACTGACCTTGTGCTTTCGGCGCTGTTCTAAGTTTTGCGCTACACCCTTTGAACTTTGTTCACTGAGAGAGGCTACAGTCAGTTTCTAGGTCATGATGAGTTCCTGCGCCGGCTAGTTATATGTTTTCGTGAATTCGTTTTCCATTGAATTTTAAAGGTTTTTCTGGATGTTTTGCTCATTTTGCAGTGTGTAGGTCAGTTTTTGTCACTGGGTGCTACTATTTAGCTTATTTTTAGCCTGAAGTTCACAGTTATTATGTTGGTAGTCAAAGATTATTGTAAACCTGCAATCATTGAGCTAATTAACGTATACTATGCTAACATAGTAACATAGACTATGCTAGTAATAGTAACATTAAACTCCCTTACTGTTTTGCCATTGTTTGACACTGAAACTGTGCGCTGATTTTTCAGCATGAGTGGCGCTAAATCGAACCTACTGGGTCTGCTTATCAACTTTGTTCCAGCCCTCACAGGACATATTAAGCATGGACTAGCGTTCCTCCTTAGCGGAAAGTTTTGATTCAGCACGCAGCTGTCTTTTTAAGCACGACCTATGTCATTTCAGAACATAGTGGGTAAATATGTTCTTCAGTTACCATAAAAAGGCATTATCGAGGAATAAGTTAGAATAAATTTAGAATTGTTTTAAGCTTGGTGGTGCTGCGGTCTAAGTGATAAATCGTATTAATCACCGTTATTCAGGATATGCTATGAACCGGAAATCCTCAGCTGAAAAACGTATGAATAAGACACAGATCGGTGTAATTTATAACTGACTCCAAATTGCTTTCATCACGAAATAATCAACCAAGGTATGCTTTAAACTGTCGCTCTCAGCCGTTTGAAGGGAAATTTACTTGATTTATGCTGACCTAGTATGCACAAATCCCACATGTCATTGAATTGACGACTTAAAAAAGTAGATTAGTTAATACATGCATTTATCTATATGTACTAATTAAGGACACATTAAATTTTTAGAAATTGTAGTTAAATTATATTCGCCTAGTAATAAAAAATGCATACATCCTATTTTGGACTTAAAATAAATGCATCAAAATTATTGTTGATTTATATTCACTTTCTGGACATTCTCATACATCTCAACATACTTAAAACATCAACAATGCATCCAAATAGCGTGTGACTGTCACACTACACTCACACCAAAACAATTAACACGCCATTATATTATGGTAAGGTAAGCCCGAAATTTTACTGACTGTAAATTTCCGTGTAAAAATAAAGAGATTGGCGCTTTAATTTATATTTTAGACCAATAAAAAGCCATCTAGCCAACAGCCAATAAAAAACTGCCTATATCTATTTTCTTGTTCACTCTGTGGTAAGATCCGTCATATATCATTCGTATTTCGCTTGTGGCTGTCTGCTTGTGAAACTCACGTACTACCTATATCTATAAAATGTGTGAGTGGAACTGCCTCAGTGTTCATGAAGTTGTGTTCGTACTAATGGACATCTTGATTATCCCAGCTAGCATTTTTTCGGGCGCATTGCAGACATTTTCGGGCAAAAACTTCGGGTGGATCTACTTACATGGGACAGTGTCCCGAAGTTTGCCCCAAAAAGTCTGCAATTTGCCCGAAGTTGTCCCAAAAGTCTGCAATGCGCCCGAAAAAATGCCAGCTGGGTATTGATATTCGAAAAAGTGTGCTGTGATTTCGAGCTAATAGAACATTTGTCGTCTCACGGTCAAATGCGAGTTTTCTACTACTTTTCGATACGCCAAACTGTTTTTGAGTTTTATTGTCTCTCGGATCTAGATATTCCTTTGTTTTCGGGGATCTGTCAGGTACTCGTTAGTCTTCGTCATCTTGGTAGTATCCACACTTGATATTCAGGTATAACCTGGAAACCAGCCTCAGTCTGTCCAGCACACATTTCAAAATAGTAACTTGTTTTTGTTAGAAAATGTTACAAATGTTTAGGTTATCGCTGTTCGTCAGATATGGCAATATTACCTAAGTGTTCCCCGCATAAATGGTTCTTTTTCGAATTGTTCGTTAGTAAGAATTTTATCGGCATTGTGAACTGCATTTCGCTGGAAAAGTTGGCTTATCCACATGCTGTTACAACTTAGCGAACTTATCGATTCATGATCTATACATCTAAACACTCATTTCATTATCATTTTACCCGTTCTTGTAAATGAGCTGTATTGCCTATTTTGTTTACCATATTCACATTAGCCTGTCTTCACCACCTGTTCGTTACTTTTTGAAATGTTATCTCACACGTTGCATTTCGTATCCTTAATCAGTTTCTTCCAGAAAGCTAGCCACCAGAATGGTATCTCATACGGTTATCCTGACACCAAATATTACCTTCACACTTACAGCCTACACCGTTTTCGCACACATGTTAATTGGATAACATGCAGATCTGACCAAAACTCTGGACAGGCTCATTGCTGATGTGTGCTGCATCTTAAAGAACCACATAAGAAATTCCAGTGAAGTGCTTCATTTTTGTAGTTGTGCTGCATTTAGCGGCAGTTGTGGTACGCCACTAGGCCGAATCCCTGCTAACTACAGTTTATGTGTTGCAAGACTAGAAGGTTGTATTCGAATGAGAACTAACTGATAGTTGAGTCGTGTGTTTCAGTCAGTTTTGCATATGCATCAGCTGAAAGCCTATGAGCCGCTGCATATCGCCACTCTGTGTGACGTATGTTTAATGAATCTACTGGAAAGGCTTAACTTTTATTCATGGAATGTCCTCTGGTCGGTAGCATATATATATATCTGTTATTTATAAAAGGTTTTTTCCTTTCAGATAAATTGTAAAGGTTTCGAAAAGCTTATTGAAACTTCAATTTATACCCTCAAACGGTATGGGTAAAGATAGACGCGTTGTATACTTTTATGATCCGGATTGTGGGAACTTTCATTATGGTTAGCTTTGAGTTCTACTGTGTGTAACAATGTTTTGTTTTTGTCTCTAGGACAAAATCATCCAATGAAACCGCATCGACTTACTCTTGCGCATACACTCATAGTGAATTATAATCTTACAGATAGTATGAAAGTAGGCGAAATTATGTTGCTTTATAACAATATTAATAATAATAATAATTAAAGGTATATAAACCATATCGTGCTAGTATGAAAGATATGATATCATTTCATTCACAAGAATACGTGGAATTTTTACGTGATGTTACGCCGACGAATGTTCATACATTTCCTAAAGAGAAATTATTAACTTATAATATAGGTGAAGATTGGTAAGTAGTCAGTTTTTTCTGTTGTTTAATTTAATTTTGTATTTCCTGTTGATTGGGTTGTGTTCAAGCGAAATGTTCGGTCTTTGTCGACATGTCGGTTCCTAGTATGGACACTTCGATGATGTGTAAGGATTAGCATTGTTGTCACTTGGTGGATGGGGCCTAGAGAGGGAATCAACGACGTGCATTCTGTCGTAATTTTGGGACTCGTCATCTGGACTTACCTGCATTCTCACTGAGTGATGAGTGTTCGAAACGATGTAAGATGCTGGACTAAAGTCTCGATGGAAACACGATTACACTCACTGAAGGATTGTAGGTCAATGCAGCCGACTAGTCGCAAAAATAGGATAGAATGCGCATCCTGGATTCCGCTGCTTCAGTCATCATCAACCAAATAACAGTCTGACTGACTGGTTTCAGCATAGCACTTCGCACCATTCTGCAGCAGCACTTCCAGTCGCAACACTTCACTCAGCGCACAAAGCCAGAGAAGAAAGTGAAGAGAAAGAAACTAAGAAGAAACGCAAAATAGAGACAGTAAACAGAGGTATGAGACAAAAAGAATAGTAATATCGAAGAACAACATAAATTCATTGGGCTCTATAAGTCACAAGGAGTGGATGCATCTGCACCAGCCATCACCGAGAATGATTGTGACTCATATCACCAATTATCTCCAGTCATTGGTGTTTATACCGTCCCGAGGACCCCAACCAGGAAGCCAGTCTACACCTCCCTACGTGGCTAGCTGGCTTAAACTAACTGTTGTTGATTTCATTGACTGATGAAGCCATGTTTTGGTTTGACCACCACTGGATCTTTTCCAGCCTGACCCTACGTCAGCTAACATTTCCCAGTTGTCGAGGAAGGCGATGACTAGGCACTCGTAACACATGTCCTAACCATCTCAGTCGATGCAATTTCACAGCCTCGTCCATTGATTTCCCCTGTTTACCTAGCACTCGACGTCTAACCTCAATATTGCTCACCTTATTATACCACTTCACACGGGAGATAAGACGCAGACACCTATGATCAAAGAGAGCTAGTCAGGCTGTTCATGTCTTCCACTCTCAGTGGCCAGGTCTCACAACTATAAAGGAGGACGGAGCGGACTGATGAGCAGTACACCCGCCCTTTGGTCGATAGTCGGATATCTCGTCTACGCCAGAGACGGTGTAAACTGGCATATGCGAAACTAGCCCTCTGTATCCGTGCTGAGATTTCGTCAGAGATCAACCTGTTGGCACTGGCTGATGGTACTTCCCAAATAAGTGGAGCGGTTAATGTGCTCTGTCTGTCTGGATTCAACATAGAACTTGGCACCGAAGTGCACCAGTTCGAGTTGCCACGTTCCAAATAGCACACAGAGGTAGACAAGAAGATGAGTGAAGAGAATTAATAGAGTTTGACAAGTATAAGAGTGAAACAGAATGGGTAATTGTAGAAAGGAATATGAAAGATTACAGAGACTGAATACATCTGCACCATTGACAACGATTTTGAGCCATGTCACCTATTGTCTCCAGCCATTGATTCCTAGAGTCCCGAGGCCCCCAACCCGGGAGTCTGCATCTCCCTACCTGACTCAGTTTAACTGTCAAGGATTTCATGGATTGATGCCGTGTTTTTGTTTGGCCACCACTGGCTCTTTTCCAACCTTCGCCTATATCAGGTAGCAATGCCCGTCGGGGGAGGCGGTGGTTAGGCATGCACAGCACGTGACCTAGCCATCTTAGTCTATGTAACTTTATAGCCTCGTCGATTGATTTTCCCTGTTTGCCCAACACTCTACGCCTAACGTCAACATTACTTACCTTATTAAACCACCTAACGTGAGACAGAGATCGCAGACATCTATGATCGAAAGCAGTCAACCTTTTCATGTCTTCAACTCGTATTGGCCATGTTTCAGAGCCATAGACAAGGACGGAGCGAACTGCTGAGCAGTACACACGTCCCTTGGTTGATAACCGGATGTCACGCCTACGCCAGAGATGGTGTAAGTCAGGGAAAGCACCTCGAGCTTTTCGGATCCGTGCTGAGATTTCATCGCCAATCAGTCCTTTGGTGCTAATACAACTTCCCAAATAGGTGAAGTGGTCAACATGTTCTATCACTTCACTCCCTATCACTAAGTTAGGAGTTGACGTGGTCCAGTCCTGTAGCAGCATCTTACATTTTGTAGGGGCGAATCGCATGCCAAACATACGGAGATTGCTGCTCAAAGTGTTCAGAAGACTCTGCATTTTGTCAGCATCCTCCCCTAACAGGACTATGTCATCTGCATATTCTAAGTCCATAAGACTATTCCCTGGTAACAAGTCGATTCCTAAGTCATTACGTTCAGTTAAGGATACTTCCATCATCATATCTATGATGAAGTTAAACAGAAATGGGGAAAGTGGACATCCCTGTCGGACACCACTGGTTGTTACCAATTCAGATGACAATTCCCCATAAGCCCTTACACGACTACGTGAGTTTGAATAGAGTGCCTCGATTAGTGCAATGTACTTTCTTGGCACTCCCTTCACAGTCAGACATTGCCATAGTGTGCTCTACCACTTCACTTCCTATTTCTAATCCAGGAGTCGGTGTAGTCCAGTCAGTCCTGTAACATCATCTTGCATTTGGCGGGAGCGAATCGCATGCCAAATATTCGTAGATTGCGGCTCACGGTGTTTAGAAGACTCTGCTGTATTTTGTCAGCGTCTTCGCCTAGAAGGACTATATCGTCTGCATATTCTAAGTTAGATTTTTTCAGAACTACGGTGGCGTTTCCTTTGTCAGCTTTTGCGATGACACTATTTTTATCCTGTTTTGGACTAATTAAAGCTTCTCTTTCAGAGTTTGTTAAGTTTGATTTTGTTTTCTTTTGATTTTTCAGGGTTAATTCACATTGTGCTCGAACCTCTTCTGCTGTTGTCTTATCTATTGAGCTTAGTGCTACTTCTATGTTAGGAATGACATCCTCTGGCATTAATTGTTAACTGTTACGTTGCAATTTAGTCCTTTCTCAAGTACTTCTATCTCACTAGAGCTTAGTTACCCCTTGATGAGAGGTTGGTCACCCACTTTGTTCTGTTGAATGAAGCGTTGACATCAATTTCATTTGTTGTGTTCTTTTCTTCATTTAGTTTGTTAAGTTTTTTGATTTGTGTGATTTTTGAATTCCTGAATGCTGATTCTCTAGCTTTTCTGGATGTTTCAACGACAATTATATAATCTTTGTCATTGACCACATATTTGAGTTTGTGTTTGAGTTTTTCAATTTGATTTCGTATATTATTTAGTTTCACAGTAATTCGATGTAGTTCTTCTTTTAGACATAATCTACTTACATGTTCCGCTGTCGATGTTATTTTGCTTGAAGTAATTGTAGAACGTAGCCGTAAATATTTGGGAATTAAATGATTTTTTAAACATCGACTGTTAAAAATCCGATGATTTGTGAATCTTGCTTCAGTTTGACTAAGTCGTGTGAGTTTGTTGATAAGCTTCCTAGTAGGAAGAGCATAAGTATCATTGATGTAAGAATAAAACTTGTGCACTGTGGTAGAGTGTAATTCCATAATGGGTACATTTTGTCTTTGATAAAGTTTCACGGTGTTATACAGTAATTTTTACTGATGACGTTTCGAGCACAATTTATTGCTCATAATAAAGGCAATTAGGGAGGTGTGGGATTTTCGGTAAGTTGGGCTTGGCTGTAGGCCAACTAAACTGCTCCTCAAAGTGTTCTTTCCAACGTCCTAGTCGTCTATCCGGGGAGCTAATTGTGATGCTATTTTTCTCAGAGATTGTTTCGCTTATCATCCGCCTTTTGCCACCTCTTTCCCTGATAAGTCTAAATAGTTGTCGTCAATTTCTTATGTCCATTTAGTCGTAAGCATAAACGTGCGCGAAACAGAGCATGATCAGAGTCTACGCGCGTGTTCCAGAAGGAGCGGCAGTCTTCTACTGACCCTCGCCAACGATACCCTCTCGCTATGTGGTCTATCTGAGTCCAGCGTTGATTTGGTGATGGGGGACGCCAGGTCAAACAGTGTCTCTCCTTGTGTTTGAAGTTAGTGCTGACTAGGAACAAATGATTATCTGAACAGAACTGTAGGAGACGGTCACCGTTGTCGGTTCGCTGGCACGGAACTCCATAGGTGCCACTGACATCCTTCTCAGATTGATAAAATTTCCCTACTTGAGCATTAAAGTCACCAGCTAGAACGACTATATCCGAGCGTTTAGCCTTTCGCAGCAAACTAGACAGCTTTTGGTAGAAATCATCATTCGTTTCATCTGAACTGCAGTCAATGGGGGCGTAGGCGGAGATTACGAAAAGACATCGAGGAGTAGTGCAGTCCTTTCTCCTTTTTACTGATCCGTTCAGACGGACGGCGCACATACGGCTATCTACCGGGATCCAGTCAGGAAGTGATTTTTCTTCACTAACGCTCAATGCCATTGCTACACCTGAGAGTTTTCGCAAACTATATGAGGTGTCCCCTGACAGCCTTAAGGTGAATTTTCAGACTCACTTTGTTGATTTTGTGAGTTTAAGGGAATAACCACACTCGGGTCTTGTATGCGTGTCTCCGAAATGCCGGATACATCCATGGCTCGAGATTACAGAGTTCTTGCTAGTGATATCTTTCCTCCGGTTTGGCAGAGGATCCTGACTTTGAATGCTCCTATATGGAGTTGGTGACGTGGTTTTAAGAGGCTGTCGCGGAGTGTTTCTGTGAATCTCATCGCTGCTTGTGGTCACAGAGTGGAGTGAAGATGACCCACTAGCCTGAATAATAGTACTGACTGTAGTAGGGGAGCAAGATGATGAATGTAAAGGAGAATAATGCTCTAGAAAGCTTCGTGTGCTTTTGGAAGTGTGTGTGCGTGGGCGGTTGTTACTTCCCGACTGCCCACGCCGTGAAAGTTGATTGATTCTTCGAGTACCTGAAACAGAAAAGGGGTTAGTACTGCGTGACCTCGCAGTCCAAGGGACAACTACTTGAGGCCGGTCACACACGGCCTGTATGAACCTGTTCCTTGGATCGGTTCCGTATTAGTAAACTTACCGCTGGTTACGGACCACCATAGGGTAAGTCGGGATGTACAAGTTTTGGGAGTGACCTTTTCTAACTCTTTGTCATCAAAGTGGAGAGATAGCATAGTCGGTTGGCATACTGGTCATCTGAGAGAAACACCTTATTGTGGCTGTTACACCCCTGTTCCCCAGCAGAACGACTTCGCCCACGTAGCCCCAGCATAGTGTAAAACACATTTCTTACACTATACCCATAACTGCTTTTAGTCCAATCGCTATCCTAACAACCTTCCTGGCATGGTTGGGCCTGTACGAACAATATTTCTAGCCAGTGTAGCTTGTTGGGTCATTGCGATATACAAGCCCGGCCACCACGTCAAGGTAATACCTGTCGGTCAGGAAAAATAAAAGTCATTCTTTTTGTTCTCTAACAAATTATTTGGTTACAAGATTTCACTATTAGCTAACGTTGGTCGCAGAACCGTTGGAAAACCTGGGAGTACTGGACAGCTGTTTCGTTCTAGTTTTGGGCTCTTCGACAGTACCTGCTCATAATAAAATTCTGTAATTAGTCATATCAAACCCCTGCAAACCAACTCTTGTTCTTTTCAGTCCGATTTTCGATGGAATTTATCGATTTTGTTCAATTTATACCGGAGCGTCACTACAAGGTGCTAAGTATTTGAATAATGGAGTAAGTGTATACATGAAAGATGATATTATCTTTAAAAAAATTTAGGTAACAGATATCGCAGTCAATTGGTCAGGTGGACTTCATCATGCTAAAAAGTTTGAGGTAATTTCCCCATATATTTATTTATCATTCTATTTATGTTTGTGTCTAGGCATCAGGATTTTGTTATGTTAATGATATTGTCATAGCAATATTAGAATTATTAAAGTATAATCCACGTGTATTATACATTGATATTGATGTTCATCATGGTGATGGTGTACAAGAGGCTTTCTATTTAACTGATCGTGTAATGACAGTTTCATTTCATCGTTATGGAAATATGTTTTTCCCTGGAACAGGTAATATTAATATTCTTAATTTTTTGCTTTGATTGTATATATGTGTCTGGGTGGTTAGAACTTGAGATACGTGTGTGTTTGTGTTTGTGTGTGTGTGTGTGTGTGTGTGTGTGTGTGCGCGTATTTAGTCAGTCATTACTCGCCGGTTCATTACATCGTCGAATTCGACGTCTTCTTGAAATTCCTGAAATAAGTAGAGTACGTGTTACGTTACTACACAGCTTGTTTTGGGGATGAGGTCTTTGGAGTTGTGTTTCCCTGTAAAAACACCTTACTACACACCTGCATGATAGATATCTAGGTGTGAAAATTTTGGTGTTGAATTTTTCCAATCCCTATCGTTCATCACAGCTATCACAGCTAGATTTCTGCTCGTCTAATGGAAACACCCCAATGCTGTTACAACCCCCCCCTCCATATTCGCTAGCCGTACAACTTCTCTCCTCTCTCGGACTTGAAACATAGTGTGAATCATTTACACTAAGATGGTAACTGGCTTTAGTCTAACCACAGTCGAAATGAAACTTCTGGCACTGTTTCAGCACTCATCGCCGTATGAAAGTCCTACCTCCTACTACTTGAAGGTAGCAGTCATCTGTCGGGTAGGTTCCATGTATCGTTTCTTGGACATTCAGACTGTATTATTCATTGATATGTGTATTGTGTACAGATGTGTGTGTAGATGCCGATGTGGTGGGGGTGGTGGTTTACGTGCATTATTTTGCTTAGAAAATAAAAATCAAGTCGCATGCTAAATTTGACAGAGCGCTATGTAAATACGAAATTAGAATAGTTTTTAATTGGGCGAAGTTTCTGACCAAGACAAGGTTCCAATGTAGAAAGCTAAAGTTGCCACACAAATATAGAGAAAAAGAAACAAATTAAATTAGAGCGCATGGAAGGAGAGATAATTGTGATTGACTGACTGACCGACTAACTGACTGGTTTCAACATAGAACTTCGCACCGATGTGCATCAGCACTTCGAATCGCAGCACTTCACTTAGCACACAAAGCAAGAGAATACAGTAAGCAGAAACGCAAAACAGAGACGGTAAACAGAGATATGAGGCAAAAAGAATAGCAATATCGAAGAACAATATAGTTACCTGCCTGGTAACAAGTCAAGCCCTGAGTCGCTGAAGTCAGCTGTTAGGGTTAATTCCATTAGTACATCTATGATGAAATTGAAGAGAAATGCGGACAGCGGTCATGTGTGACGGACACTACTGTTTATCATCACAGTTGTCAGATGCCAACTCTCCATTGGGTCACACCTTGTTGGCTGGCTGCATGAGTGCGAGTAGGAGTAGAGTTGAGTGCCTTGACCAGTGAAATGTATTTCTTCGGAACTCCCTTTCACGGCCGAACATCGCCATAGTACCTCTTGGTTTACAGAATCGAATGTCGTCTTTAGGTCAAGGAAGAAATATAATGACTGTTGGACGCCGGTAGGAATGCCTATGTTCTAGAATCTGTCGGAGGGTGAAGATATGATCGATACACCCTCTTTCTGGTCTAAAGCCTGCCTGGTTCTCTCGTGTTTGTTCCTCCTGTGGACCTGTGGTCTACACATTATTATTGAACCTAGAACTTTAGATATCATACATTGGTCGATCTAATCCCCTTATGATTATCGCAGGAGGACTTGTCTCCCTTTTTGTGTATCCATCGGGATAATCAATGACTTGCACCAAACCGATGGGACATCCTCTGATTCCCAGACACCGCCTAGTATCTTAGTTGACGCAGACAGTAAACTGTCTCTGCCATCCTTAAACACCTCTGAAGTCATTTTATGGAGTCGCGCGGCTTTGTGTCGTTTCAGACTAGTGATAGCCTTGGTAACCTGAGTAAGGGACGGAGAACTTGTGTCTATTTTTCATTCAGTGAGGTGGTGAATGTTCGATAGGTTTAACGTGGCAGAGATAATTGTATGAAGTGTGAATAGATCTGCTCCACTGATTACAACGATTTTAGGCCGTATCATCAACAGTCACAAGTCCGTGTCTCGTGGACCCCCAGTCAGGTGGTCTACACCTCTTTATGTGGTTTAAACCAACAGTTGGAGACTTAATGGATTGGTGCCAGATATTGATTTGACCACGTGTAATTCTCTTCTAACCTGATCTTATGTCAGCTAAAATTTACTGATAAGGTTGGATGTGGCTCTGCATGTGTGTATAGACTGTCCTTATTGTCTCAATCGATGCGGCTTAACACCCTCAACTATTCACTTTCCGTCCTAATTTAACACTACGCCTAACCGTGATACCACCTACCATATTATAGCACAAAACATTGGAGATAGAAATGCAGGCCCCTATGGTCAAAGAAAACTGACATTTTCATACCGTCCACTTTCAGTGGTCATGTTTCACAGCCATAAAGTTGGAAAAAGATGAACTGCTGTGCAGTATACACGTTTTTTGATCGATAGCCAACTGGACATCACTTCTCTGCTAGAGATGACATAAGTCGGCAAATGCTTCTATATATTCGGTTGGAGTGATGCAGCTTCTTCCTTCACAAATAAGTGAAGAGGTGAACACACTCAGTCATTTCATTTCTTATCCTCAGGCTAGGAATCGGTGCAGCCCAGTCCTTCAGTGTCATCTTACTATTGACAGAGACCAATCGTATGCTTAACATACGAAGATTTGTGCTGAAAGCATTCAGAAGATTCTGCATTTTGTCGGTATCTTCACCTAAGAGGAAAATATCAACCTCATACTCTAAATTAACGAGTCTCAAGTTAATTGGAGTCACGTCCTTGAATACATCTATGATGAAATTAAACGAAATACAGACATTGGGCATCCCTGAAGGAAATCAATCCAGATGAAAATTCTCCGTAATCTGTTACTTACCTACCCATCTGGGAAGCATCGTTTCAACTGCAGACGGAAGAAACTGACGAGGACATTAAAGTGAGGATCGGGAAAGAAAGGCAAGCTTTCATTGCTCTCGAGTCTGTGTGGAGATCAACAGTATGAAAAATAAGGTTAGGATTTTCAACTCCAATGTGAAGTCAGTGCTACTACACGGATCAGAGACTTGGCGCCGCACCGCATCACGAAGGGCACTTTGAACAAACTATACACCTTTGCTCAATACTCCGCTCTCTGAAGATCAGATGGCCGGCCAGAAAAGATCAGCAACAAAGAGAGATCTCTGGCAAAGAGTGAATCAACCCAGCAGGAACCAGTTGTGCAACAAATATGCAGGAAGAAATGGAGGTGGATTGGAGTGGCCATACTCTGAGAAAACAAACCATCAAGTGGGTGACATCACACGCCAGGCCATTGTTCGAGTGGAACCCGAAAGGGAAGCGGAGAGTTGATCGTCAGTGCGAGGGTGACATGGAGAGGGTCATGTCGAGAGGAGACGAACGCATCTGGATAGATGTGGAGGCAGGTGAAAAAGTTAGCAGAGAACCGAACGCAATGGAGACGTGAGACTGAAGTCATATGTTCCTCTAGGAATTAAAGGAAACAATAATAATCACGCATGGTTGTAGAAAGGTCTTACTGATTCTATAAGGAGTGCGATAATCGAAGACCGTGTCAACACTAGCCGTTCCACCTCAATTGACGCCTCCTTCATAGTAATCTACACAGTGAAGAACAACCTATCGAAGGCAGTACGCTCCTTTGCACTTCTGAAGCCTTAGCCATTCATTCGGAGAAATCAGAGTAATGCATACAACCGGAAATTATGCAACCACTCCTACTATCATGGTAAAGAACGTGTCGATCCCTGCCGACTTGAATTTTGTATGATTGTTCTTCTAACTCTTATATTTCTTTGGAACTCTCTTTCATAGTTTCATATTTTTCTTGGTTTCTATGTTCATCCTGTCCACAACTCAGTCACTAAATTACTCACTTCCTTAGGTAACTCTAATAACACTTGTTCAACTCTCCACATACAATTGACTAATACCAACAACTATGATTGTCAAGTATTGATTTTTGTAGGGATTTAGTTTGATTGTCTGGAGGATTTCATCATGATGAGCTGACATTGAAAATTAATCTGATGCCCACTAGCGAATGTTCAGGCAGTGGCCTGTAGTTCTAGTGGGAAGCCGTGACCAGTAGGGTACAGTAGGTTGAAGATGAAGCAGTAACTCATCGAAGAAGAGGTTGCGAAGTGGTCGCGCTATGTCATGCGTGAATTAGCAGAAGTTAGAATTCATGGACTAGCCATTGGATCAGGTCCCAGTGGCTCAATAGTCTACGAGATCGCTGGCCTTGTAACCAGAAGATGCTGGGCTCGACCCTCAGATGATACCTACTGCTGAAGAGTCCAAAACTATGATGAAACATCTGTCCAGTACTTCCAGGTGGTTTTCTAGTGGTTCTCCAACTGATTTCAGCTCATGATGAAATCCTCGATTCAATCGAACTATGATTGTGACAACTCATCACATTTCTTGTCTTCTTTTTTTATTCCTCTACAGGTGACATGTATGAAGTTGGTGCAAAAGCTGGGAAATACTATTCAGTGAATATACCTTTAAAAGAAGGTATCGATGACGATAGTAAGTTGTTGTTATTTTTGCTGTATCTGTCAGTCTCTTAATTATTCGTCTCCTTTTTAATTATCAACATCACAATTTGTAATTTACGCATTTCACTCTAGGAGCTAGCCAGAAATCGGCTGTTTTAAACTGTTACTCAACTCTTTGAGTTCAGTCGAACTGGGTACACACCACTGATGAGCTCAGTCGCAAACGAACGAAATGGCCATTCGGTGTTCAGATCACTGCGATCTCTCGAGCACTGTTGGTTAATCATCATCTCGATCGATCCACTAGTAACTAGATCTTTCATCGTGCTCAATTTATTTCGTCACAAAGGCAGTGAGTTTTTTTTCCCTTCACGTTCCCCAGTGGAACATAGGGCTTCAAGCTAGTGGCTTGAAGTTTCGGTAGCAGTGTTCACTTTTACAGGATGGGGTTGCCAGCCTCATGCCCAACCTCTCCTCTTTACCAGCTTTATTTCTAGTTTAGCGAGGTAAAGGAGTGCGTCTGTGGCCGGGTATCGAACCCTTGGCCATGCACATGGTCGGCGAGCGTCCTAACCGCTATACCACCGACGCAGTGAGTAATAACGCAAAAAATTAAAAAAAAACACACCTAGGCGTTGAAGTTTGATGACAACAATATCGGTGCAGTGGAAAAGAAAATGTGCTGCGCTGGGTTGGCGGTGGAGGCGGTGGCGCATCACTTCTCGTGAACTTGGAATTTCAAGTTTACCGCGACCAACAATTTACGTTATCTAAAATTCAGTTATCTTCTTAAATGGATACTTTTACTGATATCTCGCCAAGGTATGCAAACTTTCCATTTTGATGTAATAAAGATGCATGGATCAGCAGAGATCTCGTATCGTAACTTCAGATTATATTATAATGATATTATGTTTCCCTTCAGTTCTGAGTGGCACATATGACTCAAAAGCACGTCTCTACCTTGTAATATTTACTGCGATACCCTGTAGTTGGCCCCGCGGTTGCCCAAAGTCTCCCATTTCCTCCAATCACTGTCTCCTACATGTCAATCTCGAACGCCCCAATCATTATTTCCCATTCGGGTACTACTCGAGCGATGATGACGAAGAAGAAAGAGAGAGATGTCACTCAACGGTGTAGTCAGCGCGTGTCCGATCGATCTATCTCCATTTCCTACACAATGTTTGTTGAGCTCCATGCTCTTGATGGATTCATTTCCAGAGTTACTCGTTGCTAATTCTTTCTTTCCACTGTCCATCCGATCTTCAATATGGAGTCTGGAAGCGAAGTGGACAGCTGTTGGTGGAAGTGCTTCTTGTGACGCACACGTCAAGTTTCCCACCTGTACAGAAACACCAACTAAATCGACATTGGTATTGTGAACGCGAACTATGTTGTTGTTGTTGTAGTTGTTGCTGTTTATACTGAAGTGGGAAAGGAGAACATTTCCAAATTCGTTTCTGAGTGATGGAAGCAAGTTCGACCTACTGTCTACCAACTTTGGCTAGCAGCTAGCTCCCACCATATATATATATATATATATATATATATATATATATATATATATATATATATATATATATATATATATGCCATTTTCAGCGTTTTATGAAGTCTAATTCATTCCATATCTCCCGTGTGAAATGGTATAATAAGGTGAGCAATATTGAGGTTAGGCGTCGAGTGCTAGGTAAACAGGGGAAATCAATGGACGAGGCTGTGAAATTGCATCGACTGAGATGGTTAGGACATGTGTTACGAGTGCCTAGTCATCGCCTTCCTCGACAACTGGGAAATGTTAGCTGACATAGGGTCAGGCTGGAAAAAAGCTAGCGGTGGTCAAACCAAAACATGGCTTCATCAGTCAATGAAATCAACAACAGTTAGTTTAAGCCAGCTAGCCACGTAGGAAGGTGTAGACTGGCTTCCTGGTTGGGGTCCTCGGGACGGTATAAACACCAATGACTGGAGATAATTGGTGATATGAGTCACAATCATTCTCGGTGATGGCTGGTGCAGATGCATCCACTCCTTGTGACTTATAGAGCCCAATGAATTTATGTTGTTCTTCGATATTACTATTCTTTTTGTCTCATACCTCTGTTTACTGTCTCTATTTTGCGTTTCTTCTTAGTTTCTTTCTCTTCACTTTCTTCTCTGGCTTTGTGCGCTGAGTGACGTGTTGTGACTCGAAGTGCTGCAGCACATCTCGGTACATAGTTCTGTGTCGAAAACAGACAGACAAATAGAGCATTTAATTGATGAGAAAAATAATGTGTTCAAATATTCATATAATTTTCCTTTCTCTCTCTCTATCTCTCCAGTGTATTTCAGTGTTTTTCGAGCAGTAATCAACGATGTAGTCAGTTTTTATCGGCCCACAACTATTGTCCTACAATGTGGTGCTGACTCATTGGGTTGTGATCGATTAGGCGTATTCAATCTGTCCATACGAGGTCATGGGTAAGTAAACAGTGGTTTCGTCTCAACAACTCTTCTAATCATAACAAAAATAAAGAAAATAATAATAACAATAATAATATGTATCATGTAATGTAGCTTTGTTGTTTATGAAAAGCAAAAGAATTCCCTGCAATTTTTCTGCATTTCTTTGCCCAGTCTTTAATGAGAGAAGCTAATTCAATACGCCCTCACGAATTGTTCATGCAGTGACCATTTCATATGAAACTGCATGGAATAAAACAAGTATGAAATGCAGCATTTCAATGGATGGAAATTCTAGTGTGGCTCAGGGATTTTAAACAGGCCGACGTGAACACTAACTAGTATCCATGTGTCTAGTGTCGTCGTCTATGTCAAAATGAGCGGAGCAATTAATGTCTGTGAAAAGATTGTGACTTGTGGAATAGACTATAAGTTGAAGAGGAAGGAGTCAGACTGTCAGTAGAATGAGTGTACGCCTGTTTCTTTTCAACAGTAGATAACAACCTAAAATATGTGCGCAACACTCATTCGACTAAATAAGAACACACATTTTGATTTATTTGTGTTCTCTAAGCTGTTTGATTTAATTGTGAAGTTTTCACTGCTCCCACCCCCCCCATCTCCCTTCTAGACACAACATTTTGCAGCGAAGGCTGTTTGAATCGTTTCTTCATGAATGGTGATATAATCGTATCTCCTGACAACCATTTCCGTGGTTGACTGTTAGTTTACACTGGCTTCGAATTTAAGGTTTCCTGTCATGTAATTTTTTATCAGATGATTACATGGAACTGGCAGGCCCTCCTGCCTAGCTCATGATTCTTTTGCTTGTTGGCAACCACCAGACATAAAGACGTATCTATGACCTTGAAGAGGAACTCACGTCTCCTGTGAGATTTAAACCCGTGTCACCTCGTACTGCAGTCAGAGACGTTACTACTGAGGCATTCAGGCTGGACGACGGACCTCTTGTATGACTGTACTGGATACTTAGATTGGACAGTGACTAGTGTCATGTGTCTGGTGCTTTGTTCCTTCAAGACTGCATGCAGGCCTTGAGTGAGTGAGTGAGTGAGTGATTGGTGAGTGCCAACAGGCAAAAAGCCTAGGTCTTGGAAGAGCTTTCTGGCGATTGCCTCCAACCATCTAATAATATCAACAATTCCCGGTGTAGTGCATTGTGGTGGTGGTGGTGGCGAGCTACCTAGTAGCATGGATGGCCACATAACAAACTTGACTGATTAAGAGAATTCAGTCTGCACCAGCCAAAAAGGACTAGACTCATGACACTAGTTAGTGTAGTGTCCAATCAAAAGCTGTTTTTTTGTTGTTGTTGTTGTTGTTGCCAGAAGGTATAATTGCATCACCATTCGTGGAGAAACGATTCAAACAGGCCTTCGCTGAAGATGTTGTGTTTATAGATGGGAGAAGAGGGGCACAATGGAAGCTTCACAATTATATCAACCAGCTCATTGAACAAAACTAAATCAAAATCACCCATCTGAGTTAAAAATCTTCTATCTGTCTTATTTCGAGAACATGCGATTTTAAAAATCACGGTTTAAGTCAATTTTTTCATTTTCCCGTTGATTGATTGAGCTCAAATGTTCAACCTGTGTCTGATAAGTCACCTTCCAGTACTGCAGACGCTCTGAAGACGTCTGAGAAGTGACATTGGTGTTATTTCATTGACTGCTAACTAGCAGCGATATCGAAGTGTATAGTACTGAGTTCTAGTCTCAGTTGGGAGAATCATCACCCATTCAGGCGTCACTTTCGGGTGGTGGTCCCAAACAAAATGAAATGCTCATCCTGGACTCCATTGGTAGTTACCATCCACCAAATTTTAATGTGTGTTCTCATTATTAATATTCCTGTGCAAATCTTAGGCTGTCTGCAGCTAAACAGAAGTGCCGAAGTACCATTCGATTTGTTTTAATTGAAACATAAAGTTAGTACATTGTGAGTACCACGTGACAGGGCACACAAAATCTCATCGTTTGTCAGAGAGCTGAGGTGAGGTACTTACTGTTCAGACACTATAACTGAAGCATGTGACTTTCTCGAGTGACCAACCCATTAAGCCATCGGTGGGCCCGGTCCAGTCATCAGCCCATGAATTCCAGCTTCCGCCAATATCATGCACAATATAGTGTGACTTACACTAGCCGATGTCATCGGTGGCGAGCGTTTCTCCTGACATCTGACCTGCTGTACTGCGCTAGTCACGACTACACACTAGAACCCAGGTAGGTAATTGCCTACCTGAACAGGGTCAGTCGCTAGTGAGCATCAGATTAATATTCAAGTGTTGGTCTGCAATTCAACACTTGGACACCTCCAGGTGAATTGACATCGTGTCAACATTCAGTATTAGGGCTGCATTGTCCCATATCCTTTTCTATTCCTGCTCTAATCCTGCTCACAATAAAATCAGCATGTTAATCAATCATCTATGTGATCTAGGTTAAATTCTCATCCGACACATTCGCCAAACTGCATACCATTTACTCCCCTATATGACTTTGAATCAAGCAAGATCAACAGCGGGGTTTGTGTGCAGAATAAGCTGATGTTGTTACCATCATTGTTGAATTCATTGGCTTCTCATCAAGCTACATACCTACAGCCTAAAGAAATGAATTCAGTTTATATGTACAGAACTACTTTAACATACATGTAAATTTTTACATGATATCAGTTGACAGGGTATTTCAAACATAATAAACAGCCCTCAGAAAAAAGACGTGTATACGATTTTTATCCAAAGAGTTCAAATGTGAAAAAAAAGTCAAGTGTGTGCATTACAATTCAAAGCTTTTCAGAGTTATTTAATAAGGACAAGTGGTGAGCAACATGATGAATTGGAAAGTCAGGAAGCTGGGGAGCTTCCAATATTAGATTGTAGCGTAAAAAGGAAAGAAGATGGGAAGTTAAACACACACACACACACATTCAAACAGATACATTTGGATTTCCGATCATCCCATCCTATATCAGTAAAAATAGGACTGGTGATGTGTTTGACTAATAGGATACAAAAACTAAATAGTATCAAGGAAAATCTAGGACAGAAAGTGAGGCATATGAGAGAAGCTTTGAAACTTGATAATTACTCTGACAAACTAATCAGGAATTATGCAGGAAAACGCAAAAATAAAATAAATAATAATAGTAGTGATAGTGATAATAGTAATAATTATAATAGTAATATTAATGACGATATGCACGTCATGTGTGTGTGTGTGTGTGTGAAAAACTGAAGGGAATATGTTCAGATTTCAACACAGTGATGGAATGTTTCCCCACATATCTCACTACAACCATGCAGCAGGATTAAACGTTGTAAGAGCTGTCTCTAATAAGGCATAGTGTTGATGCTTCATGCTTAGATAAAACGCCTATACCGGAGATATAAACAGTGGCAACAGACAACAAGGGGAAGACATAGAGAGAGAGAGAAAGAAAAAAGTCGATAAGACAAATTGTGAAGCCGTATGACTAAATTGATATGATTATGAGCAACAATAATTCCTGCTCCAAAACCTTGTCATCATCCAGTTGTTAATACCGTGTCATCACTGTGTATATATAATATTTGAAATAAACCTGTTGGACTTGGAATTACATCTTTTTTCACCACAATGCCCACAGTGTTCTCCACTTACATTTCTTTCTTTTTTTTTCTTTTTTGTCTGCTTTGTAGACGATGTGTTCGTATGGTAAAAGAACTTGGTTTACCATTATTAGTGCTTGGTGGTGGCGGTTATACTGTACGTAATGTAGCCCGTTGTTGGGCGTATGAAACAGCTGTCCTTTTGGATCAAGAAGAGGAAATCTCTAATGAATTACCCTATTCACCGTATATTGAATTCTTTTATCCTGATTATACTCTACACCCAGATTTGACAACTAAACTTGACAATGCTAATACACGACAGGTAGGAAGAGAATTATGCGTAGAATTGAGCTGTGTGTGTGTGTGTGTCTGTCTGTCTGTCTGTCTGTATATGAGGCAAGAACCTTTAAAAGTGGTGTCAATTTGCGGGGATTGGATTGATTTGATTTGACCATGAACTGATTTCCTTCTGAGAACTATTTAAAAAAGAAATAGAGGAAGAAGTTTATGGCTGTTTCATCTTTATTTGGGACTCCTCATCAGTATGCATCCAAGAGCCAGGGGTCGAACCCCCCCGTACCCTTTAGTAACCTGCAAGTTACGTGTGGCAGCTTCATTCTGTAGCCAGTCATGCTAATGAGATTCTACTGCGGAGTCAGTAGCAGTAACCGCCCATGTGCATCAACTGGTGTTAGATTAGACATTCAGTGGTGACTAACTGGTTGGTGATCGCGCTGCATCGCTATCGCCATTCTGTTGATGATTGAATTCTCAGGCTACTGGATTTTATCACGGTGGTTGATTGGTTAACAAGCTTGTCTTCTAAATTGGTGGTGGTGGTGGTGGGGGCATACTGATAAAGAGTCGCCAGCAATTAAAGGGTGAAACAGCTGTCAAGTACTTCCTGTTGATTTTAAATGCTTTGTAGCTGAAGTCAGTCTGTGATCAAACTTAAAAGTTATCAATTGCTAAAGATGTAGCGTTTCGTTTGAAATGATGTTTACAGGGTACTAGTCTCATTGGAAACACCATCACTCACTCACTCACTCACTGGAGATGTAGAATAGGTACATCTAGGCTAAAAGTCCAGAAAACAGGATAAAAAAAATGTACATACCAGTTTCCACTGCAAGCCCACCATCAACCGAAATAGAATTGTGATTATATTTCACTAGTGGTAATTTTTTGAAGATTTTTAATGTGACCTGTATATGTGTACATACTAATCACATTGCCCCACTCTATATGCATCGTTATCGAACAAAAAGCATAAGATGACAGTCAAATATCTACCTTAAAATGTAATCGAATTTGAAAACACCTTCGACAGGCAGCGTTGACAGTGAAGTAAATTTGGAAACTACTTCAACACTATGGTTGTGCAGTGCTCAAAACCTTTATCAATCTGTCATACAACAGCTGACTGACTATATGAGACGATGGCACGTGTAAGGTGATCCACAGTGGAGAACTCAGTGGAGCTTTTAAAATGGAGACAGAAATAAGACAAGGTGTGGTCAATGTCCACTGCCATCCACGATGACATTCCTAATCGTGGTGGATTGAATTATTATTCTGGAGACTGTGCACAGGCAGTAAGAGGACCGGAATATGCTGAGACGATAAGAATATCTAGACTTTGCGTGTGGGAATGATTTATGTGTTATGTCATACAAACTAGAAGAATTACAGGCAGGCAGAAACCAACAAACTGGCTGGCAAAGGAAGCAGCCAACAGAAACAGGATTTCAAGTGAACATTGAGGAGATGGAGGCAATGAATATAACTAACCACCATCAATCACACTATGAACGCGAGGAATTTGAAAGGAGGTCACTTTCTTCACTCATCTGTGTAGTTAGTAGGCACACATCACAATGTCAAAGTCAGCTAGGATCGAAAACGTAGGTCGAACTTGCTTCCATCACCCAAAAACGAATTTGGAAATGTTCTCCTTTCCCACTTCAGTATAAACAGCAACAACTACAACAACAACAACATAGTTCACGTTTACAATACCAATGTCGATTTAGTTGGTGCTTCTGTACAGGTGGGAAACTTGACATGTGCGTCACAAGAAGCATTTCCACCAACAGCTGTCCACTTCGCTTCCAGACTCCATATTGAAAATCGGATGGACAGTGGAAAGAAAGAATTAGCAACGAGTAACTCTGGAAATGAATCCATCAAGAGCATGGAGCTCAACAAACATTGTGTAGGAAATGGAGATAGATCGATCGGACACGCGCTGACTACACCGTTGAGTGACATCTCTCTCCTTCTTCTTCGTCATCATCGCTCGAGTAGTACCCGAATGGGAAATAATGATTGGGGCGTTCGAGAGTGACATGTAGGAGACAGTGATTGGAGGAAATGGGAGACTTTAGGCAACCGAGGTGCCGGTTAATGAGTACGGCAGAAAATAGTACAAAGTAGAGAAGGACTGTTTAAGCTCTATGTTGCACTCGGAAACATCAGAGAGTGTCTACTGTTTGAGTCATTTGTCAAAAAGTTTTAGAATATCTGCTATGTAGGCCACACTCTCTGTTTATTGACTTGTAATACCACATAGAAGTGGCAGTATTATTGCGTGAAACGATGTTAACATTAGATTCACTATTGTCTGTTGGTGTTTCAGGTTTCTTATTCAGTAAACCTTCACCGGTTGATGGCGGAGTTAATCAACCAACATAAATAGCAGAGTGATTACTGATGCTTGATAATCTAACGACCTTCAATTTGAGAATTATTGATACAAAATAATGACAGGTTGAAAAGAGATTGATTCAATGAGAAATTAGTCCCTGTAAAGGATATTGTTTGTTTGTAGGCACTTACATCCCTTCCCTCCACTCTTCGCCTTCATTCGTAATACTTGGTCCTCTGCTGATTGAGGAAATTATTTTCCACTCATACCATAAAAATTATAGTGTTCTTTTCAAACATAACTAATACGTTTTCTTTCTCCCTTTTTCATGTAGTATATCGAAGCGCTACGCGTAACAGTTCATGACAATCTGAAACAACTTGTACATGCACCAAGTGTTCAGTTCACCGATGTACCGAGTGATTATTTGGGGAATTTTTGTGAGGATTCAAATGACGAGCGGTAAGAATATATATACACCTCTACAAGAGATGGAAGTCGTTGATATTTGGTGATGAGGGGCTGTTTTCTAAGCTAACCATTAAAGCAGCCATAAATATTATATTATTATTGTTTCCTCGGGTCATGCGTGGAACGTGGGGCTTCAACCGCACATCTCTACTTTGTCCTAGTTTCTGCCGTACTGTATAGCTGGCCCCGCGGTTGCCCAATGTCTCCCATTTCCTCAAATCACTGTCTCCTACATGTCAATCTCGAACGCCCCAATCATTATTTCCCATTCGGGTACTACTCGAGCGATGATGACGAAGAAGAAGGAGAGAGATGTCACTCAACGGTGTAGTCAGCGAGTGTCCAATCGATCTATCTCCATTTCCTACACAATGTTTGTTGAGCTCCATGCTCTTGATGGATTCATTTCCAGAGTTACTCGTTGCTAATTCTTTCTTTCCACTGTCCATCCGATTTTCAATATGGAGTCTGGAAGCGAAGTGGACAGCTGTTAGTGGAAGTGCTTCTTGTGACGCACACGTCAAGTTTCCCACCCGTACAGAAGCACCAACTAAATCGACATTGGTATTGTAAACGTGAACTATGTTGTTGTTGTTGTAGTTGTTGCTGTTTATACTGAAGTGGGAAAGGAGAACATTTCCAAATTCGTTTTTGGGTGATGGAAGCAAGTTCGACCTACGTTTTCGATCCTAGCTGACTTTGACATTGTGATGTGTGCCTACTAACTACACAGATGAGTGAAGAAAGTGACCTCCTTTCAAATTCCTCGCGTTCATAGTGATTGGTGCTTGTTTCATGAAATCTCCGATCTCCTCCTCCTCATAGGACTTCTCCCATATCAGCCCCTGACTGACACCCCACTCATCATTTCCTATTCGAGTTCCACTCGAGTGATGGTCAGGAGCACGATGTCATCGTGAAGCCAGAGATAGTAGACTGTGGAGAATAGTAGGTGAAATGGAGTTGTTTTGCTGGACACCCTTTGGTTGCGCTCAGAACCTAAGGGAATAATAATAATAATAATAGCGCACGTCAGTGCCCAGTTACTAGACGGACTGTTCAATACAAAAAATGCATCATCAGTATCTTGTAGTACAGAAAATGGAATTTTCAGCATGCAGTAGAGTATTGCAAGCAACTTTCTTATTACAGAGGTAATAAATAATTAGGCGCATTTGCACTAATTATATAATATCGTTCAATAAGCATATGAAAATATAAAATTAAATTAAGTTGAAATATTAACAACAATGTAATTAATAATGAAAAAATAGGGCTGTTCACTTAGAGTTCTGCACTAATTTGGTAATTTCCTGTCGTACACTTTTCTCATCACATAAAATGTGTCCCTGACAAATGAGGTATTGTAGAGTCTTTGTACTTTGTCGTCCAAGCACATAGTCTTCTATAATTGCTTCTACTTTTACCCGATTAGATAGATGCTAAGAGAGAGAGAGAGAGAGTTGTGTGTGTGTGTGTGTGTGTGTCCAATCTTCCTGTTTATTTCTGTTTATTTTAACGCCTTTATTATTATTTTTTAAATTCTTCACTGCATTACAAGGTTTGCTTCTTTATCGTGTCTTCCTGCTATTTCTAACTATTCTTATCTTCATGCTCCGTCGTTTTTCTGTGAACAGGGAGAAATTTGGTGAACCTTTTGTTGAAGAAGCAACAGAATCAACTGCGGCTTAAAACGACTGACTGTCCTGCTTGCTGAACCACGTCTGTGTACATATCTTGAACAACATGAAGTCTACATAATCTCTCTTACACCGTGACACACCAAATTCTTGTCTAGTCTTATGCACAGCGTTTTGTTTCTAACCGTGCAACCATAAATTTATATTTTTTGTCGCTCCGTATTTGAAATATAGCTGAAAACCCCTCCACACACACACACACACACACACCCACATACACACGACAAAGGCAATTGTGAGACAAGGAAAGAGCAGGATGTAAATAGGATTTTCGATCAGAAGCAAATAATTTAGAATTATCATTTTATTAAGTGTTAAATGACAGTGAACTATGAAATCACGAGGAATAAAATTGTCATTTCTTGTTACATGCCTATCGATTTTTGTGTTTCCCCTCTCCCTGTTCCTTGTTTTTCAATGTACAAAAATGCGATAAATACCAATCAAGTGAACAAAAAAGAGAATTGTATGTAAAAAATATTATGATGAAGTGTGGAATTCTATGTGAATGAGTTCTCGTGTGAACTTTTCTTTATTTGTATACTTGCCGTTATTTTTCTCTTTCTACTCGGGTAGGCGTTATTGGCATTTATTTTATTTCGTTTCGGTTTCCTATTGAATTTATGAACCTATAATCATCGTTATTCAGCAGTCCAGAGCAGTGGCGATGGGATATGTATGGCCCATAGCATCATTCCCAAGCTTTTTCAGCCGTTTTCCCGGTCTGTATATATACAGACCTGGCTTGCCCCACGATTACTCATAGTCTCTGTTCTCCTCCATGTCACCCTCGAACATATCCCACTCGTCATCTTCCATTCAGATCCCATTCGAGTGATGGCCTGGTGTGCGATGTCAATCGAAGCAATCCTCCACCATTTCCTTCTGCATATTTATTGAGTGATAGTTTCCGGATGGGTTCGCTCCCACATTTGCTTGTTCGCTGATTGTTTCCATCGGCCATCTGACCTAAAATATATTGAGCCAGCGAAAAGGGCAGCTGATATTCTCACAGTTTCTCAATTTGTTTAAACATATACATATATGGTTGTTGGTAAGAAAATGTAACATCACAACGTACTTGAGATTGGAATGTCACCTTAACGAATCCATAAAAGTCAGATCCAGACTGATTAACAGCACCTGCTGATTCCATGCCTGCAAGTAATAGACAAAAACATGGTTTTTGCTATTTGAAATGCGAATAATGTTTAATTCCTCTCTCAATTCCTGTTTAATTCCTCTGAAAGGTGTGACGTAATACCGTATTCAAAGAATTTCACAGCAGGCCAGAGTAGCCACAGCTTTTCTGGACATCTTTCTTCTCTACACAGCACTTCAGTTTTTGTAAACGTCTTGCAGTAACCTCTGTTGCTTGGAGTATTCGACATCTAGAGGCTTCTGATAATTAATTTGGCGCGTGATACATATACAAGAGAGGAAGACTTTTGACCTGTCTGCACCAGGTGACTTAATTCTGCTGAACTGTCTATCTCTTCCACTACATATTTGGTCCCGAGCACGAAGACCCCAGTTTCCAGTGCAACGGCCTATATATCTGGCTCCAAGGAGCAGTTGAATTGAAGAATACATGAATAAGTAGCTATCCTAGGTACTTCATATTCAGTTTAGAAGTTACAATTAGTCGTGTGGAGAACACGACGTACAACTTATCAGCATTACAAGTTATTTTAATTCGATTTGCCTAACATTTTGGTTATTATTTCACCTGGTACATCACACATGAATTTCAATCGAATATATAGAGGCTTCTTATTTACCGATATAGGACAGTTATTTACAACTTTCGTGGCTGTGTTTCATGATGAACTTTACTGGATAGTTATTTTCAATTGAAGTTTCATAGACAATTTTAGGTTCATCTTCAATTACATCTTGTGAACATGTTGCTGTAAGGGTCCTTATTGAGTTGATTTTGTACTGGATGGGAAGGAAGCTACTTAAATGTGTACATTTTCTTGTCCTTTACTTTCGTTATGCGAATTTCTGCTCATACTATCATCTGAATCTCCTGTGCAGAGAACATTCAAGAAGGCGATTCTGTTTTGGAGATTATTCTGGACAAACAAAGTTATTGCTATTAGATTTTTATATTATTATTGCTCCCTTGGGTTCCTAGTGGAACATAGGGCTTCAACTGCACGTCTCCATTTGCTTCTGTCTTCTGCTGTACTTTTCGCCTGCATCCATGTTAGTCCATACTCTTTCAACTCCTCTTCACACGATCTCCTCCATGTCACCCTTGGACGTCCCACACGCCGCTTCCCTTTCGGGTTCCACTCGAGGGCTTGACGCGCGATGTCACCCAGCGGTCTCCTCAGCGAGTGTCCAATCCATCTCCACTTTCTCCTGCATATTTGTTGGGCGATTGGTTCTTGCTTTGTTTGTTCCCATAATTCCTTTTTGGTGATTCTTTCCGGCCATCTGATCTTCAGTATAGAGCGAAGACAGTTGTTAATAAAGGTCTGCAGCCTTTTGGAAATATTCTTTGTGACCCATCCGCCAAGTTTCTGATCCGTAAAGAAGAACTGACTGACTTGACGTTTGTATTGAAAATCCGAATTTTGTTGGTGATGCTGAGTGACGAAGATTTCCAGATTGATTTCAGGTTGATGAATGTGTTTCTCGCCTTCCCGATTCCCGCTCGATTTGACATCCTCGTCCTCTCCTCCTGTAGTTGAGACAATGCTCCCTAGATAAGTAAGTGAATGAATTCACCTCTTTCAAATCCCTCCCGTTGATGGTGATTGAGGCTGGATGTTGCTGCTGTTGTTGTTGTTGGTTGGTTATTTTCATAACCTCCGTCTTGTCTATGTTTACCTGGAGTCCTGTCTTCGCCGGCTGCTTCTTCGACCAGTTTGTCGGTCTTCGCTTGTAAGTCTTCGATTTTGTGTGACATCAAACATAAATCATCCACAAGCGAAATCCAGGTCTTCTAGGTTCTTCACGTCGGTCGGTCCAGGATATCGCTCCCTGTCTTCTCGTTTCCCACTGTCTGACGCATAATCCACTCAGTCCACCACAATTAGGAATATCATTCATTGATGATAATAAACACCCTTGTCTGACTCCTGTGTTTACTCCAAACGCCTCGCTGAGTTTTCCGTTGTGGATCACTTGACATGTGCCGTCGTCATACAGCTGTTGAATAAGGTTGATGAATATTTGGGCGTGCACGCCGTAGTATTCGAGTAGTTTCCAAATTACTTCACGGTCAACTCTGTCTGTCGAAGGCCTTCTCAAAGTCTATAAAGTTGAGGTAGAGGTTTGATCGCCATTCCATGCTTTGTTCGATGATGATGATGATATGATGATGCGTAGAGTTGCAATTTGGTCAGTACATGATTTGCCTCTCCTGAATGCAGCTAGCTTGTTCTGGTCGGAGTTCTGTCTCCAGTGCGTCCTTTAATCTCTCCAGGATGATGCGACTCAGGATTTTACTTGGCGTCGATAGGAGCATGATTCCTCGCCAGTTCTTGCAGAGTGGGGCTAAGTCGCCCTTCTTTGGTAGTTTCACGAGGTAACCTTTCCTCCAGTCAGTAGGCACCTTTCCCTCCTTCCAGACCTTTTGCAATAATGGAGTCAGCATGTCTGCTGTAGTCTCTGGGTGTGCTTTCAGTGCTTCAGGGGGTATTCCATCTGGTCCGGCTGCTTTTCCAGCTTTCAGAAGCTTGATTGTGTTCAAGACTTCAGCTCTCGTTGGAGGATTGGTGTCAACTTGCAGTTGTGTGCGCGCTGTTGTTGGTATTTCTGGACGGGTTGCAGGTGGTGGTCGGTTCAAGAGTCCTTTGAAGTGATCCGCCATTGTTTAATCTGTTTTTCTTCCTTGGTAATTGGGTTCCCTTGGCTGTCTTTTATAGGTTTCGCTTGTGTTGGCCTCTTCCCGGATAGAGATTTGGTTATCTGATATAGTGTCCTCAGGTCCCTTTTGCCTGCTGCCTTCCAGCTTCAGTGGCCAGGTTGTCGTAGAATCGTCTTTTGTCCTTCCTAGCACTCTTCTTCACTTCTTTGTCCAGTGCTGTGTAAGTTGAGCTCAGCGTCTCTCTCTTCTGTCCGTCCTTGCATTGAATCATTTTTTCTTTCACCATTCTCCTCTCTTCTATTAATTTCCAAGTGTCCGTTGAGAGCCATTCCTTGTCTTGTCTCTTCTTTCTTCCTAGAACCGTTGAACACGTTTCGTTGAGAATCGCCTTCAGAGACTTCCAATGTTCTTCCACGCATGATTCTTCAGTGATGTCGCGTAGTGTTTCCTGCTTTGCTCTGACAGTTGCAGTGAAAGTGTCTTTGTGGTTGTGTCCTTCAGTAATTGAGTGTTGAACTTGCATTGTGGCCTATCCCAGCTATCCTCGAGGCTTTTAGTTTCACCTTGAAAGTCCCTTGTACTAGATAGTGGTCTGAACCCACATCTGCTCCTCTCCTTGACCTTGTGTCCAGTAGGCTCCGTCTCCACTTTCTTGAAATTGAGATGAAGTCTATTTGGTTCTTGGTGTTTCCATCTGGTGAAATCCATGTCGTCTTGTGTATATCCTTGTGTTTGAACACACTACCACCAATCACCAAATCATTGAAGGCGCAGAAGTCTGAGAAGAGTTCGCCATTGTCGTTCATTTCGCCGAGGGCCTCACGACCCATGGTGAGTTCTCTTCCTGTGTTGTCTCCTCCCAGCTTCGCATTCATGTCGCCCATCAGGATTTTGATATCGCCATTTGGGACGTTGTCCATTATTGCTTGTAGTTGTCTGTAGAACGCCTCCTTCTTCTCTTGTTCTGAGACGTTTGTAGGCGCATAGCATTGAATGACTGTAACTTTCCTTCCTTTTGAGTTGAACCTGGCTGTCATTATCCTGGAGGAGATTGGTTCCCACTGCATGAGAGCTTTGGCTGCTGTTGGTGACATCATGATGGCCACTCCCTCGGTGTGCTCATGGTTGTCCTCTGGTGGCCGGAAAAGATTACTGTCTCTCCAGTAGGT